AGCATAGGTTTCATGCTTCCTTCTGGATCCTGATGTCTGGCCCAAGGTCTGAGAAGATTTGCTGAACAACAACAACAAAAAACCAAACACCGATTCCTCCACATTTTAAGACGAACTTAAGAATTTCAGCCTAAAGTCAAAAAGAAAAAGAAAGCCACAAACAACCGGGACTTGTTATCTTTTTTCCTCTAGACACAGATCGGTTATGTAACTAAGTGATTTGTATGTCAACTCTCTTCTGAATTCCACGTAGACTATCCTCTTATTTCTACCCTCATTAAATACATTATGAGATTCATAACAGATTTTAATTCATAAGTTAAACATAATTTTCTGACTCATTAAATTTGGCGCTAGTTCCTTCTTGATGAATACAGAACATTTTCAGAACAGAAAGGGAGCTTTCTCCACAATGGACTACAGGGAATGCAGCTTCGGGGGGGTGGTGGAGGGGGGGGGGGTTGAGCGGAAACTGATGAACAACGGATTCTTGTTTGCTTCTTCCATAGAATCTTGTCCCTACGTTTGGGGGCTCACCTCACGCTTGGCCTAGGAGCCACTGCTGTCCTGACATGCTCACGCCCCACAGCAGCCCAGTGTCCCTGACCTGTGGAGGCTGCACCATGGTCCTCCCCTTATCTGCCAGGTGTAGTGGCCACAGCGTCTGGAGCCCAACATCCGTTTAGAGACCCACAAAAAAGGTTTTAATATCTTTTGACATCAAAAGGAGGAAGAAAAAAGAACTTTTACATCCAAGGAACTATTTTTTCTTGTTTTTTTAAAACAATTTTTACATTAATTTAATTTTGAGAGATAGAAAGAGCCAGCGCGAATGAGGGAGGGGCAGAGAGCGAAGGAGACACAGAATCCGAAGCAGGCTCCAGGCTCTGAGCTGTCAGCACAGAACCCGACGCGGGCCTTGAACCCACAGACCGTGAGATCATGACCTGAGGCGAAGTCGGACACTCAACCGACTGAGCCACCCAGGCGCCCCCTCAAAGGAACTATTTTAATATGGAATATTTATGTATTTGTCTGATGCTCATGCAGCCTTAAAATATTCTTTTTAGTAATTTTTTTTTGTGGAGAAAGGGGCATATGAAAGTAGAAGCATGGGGACGAGAGGCCTGCGAATCCCTTTCAGGGTAAGAGGTAGAGGCAGTCACTTTGCCCTGTCCTTCTAGGTGGTATATTGTTTCAGGCTTGCTTTCCCCCCTCACCATTTTGAGTGTTTATTTGGATTTCCTCTCCAACCTTCCTCATTGTTCTAAAGTACAGGAGGTGACATCACACGGCTACTAGAATGGCTTCTATTATATCCAGGACCTGAGTAGAAATATCCCAGCTACTCTGAGCCTGGCAGGAATAGGCAGAAGCAGACAGTCCCCTCCACTGAGGCAGCCTCTTCTCTGTGGAAGTCTCTGTCGTCACTCCGCTGGTCTGACATGAATCGTATCACCCAGGTGGGTGCTGGTTGAAGCCCAAAATTTGCCGGCACACCCTGGACCAAGGAATGGTGCACCAGGCCGGGATGCCTTGGCGTCCCTCTGCACCTCGGGGATGCGGCCACAAGAGGAAGTTTTAACAATAGCCGATGCTTGAATCATCCAAGAACAAACAGAAAAGACTTTTGCCTGGCTGAAAAGGACAGGTTTTTTAAAAAATATTTTTTAAAAGTTTATTTCGAGAGGGAGGGAAAGAGTGCATGAGTGCAGGAGGGGCAGAGAGAGAGAGAGAGAGAGAGAGAGAGAGAGAGAGAATCCCAAGCAGGCTCTCTGCTGTCTGTGCAGAGCTCAGTGCGGGGCTTGAACTCACGAACTATGAGCTCATGACCAGTATCAAGAATTGGGCACTTACGTGACTGAGTCACCCAGGCTCCCCTTTTTAAATATTTTTTTAAGTGGGTAGTTTTATATTATAATAGCAGCCTAGTAGTGTAAACAGATTTGCTATTAGAAATCTTCTGTGTGAGGTTTTTTTTTTTTCCTTTCCTGTAACGCATTTTAACAAAACTTGGGTAACTTTAGACCCTATACAATATGCAATTTTATAGTCCTTACAGTTGCTTCCATCTGGGACCCCTTTCTAGGCGTCTAGCTTTCCCTCAACACTTTTCATTCCCCATTCCCTCCTAAATGAAGTCAGAAAACAAATCTCTGGGAAGCTGAATACATACTTTAGCTGCTCCGTCTTCCTTGCAGAAAACTCTGTGGGGCAGAGTAGTTCTGAGTGTGGCTGCAGGAAAAAGCTGCTCATGGTCTTGGAAGATGATGTTCTCTGCCCTAAAAGCACCGTCTGGGCCTCCAGAGGCCCGGGTTCTCCTCTTGTTTCTTGCCACCTTATTGTGTGTCGTGTCTCTTTACCATCTGGACTCGAGTTTCTCATTTGTTAAACAGGTAACACAAAATTTCCAGCAGGTCTGATGAAGTTTTTGAGGCCATGGGGGCTCACGGGGGGTGGAGCCGACAGCCGAGAAAGAATCCTTGAAGACGTCATTGGGGCAAAAAAGGTGATTTTATTAAAGCACAGGGATGGGACCCATGGGCAGGAAGAGCTGCACTGGGGTCCTGATGGGCAACTCATATATCCCCAGGTTGGGAGGGGGTGACGGATAGAGTAAGTCTCTAAGGAATTTTGGAAGCAAGGTTTGCAGGACCTTGAGGGGCTAGCTGTTGCCAGGGAAATGCTATTTATTACCTTTTAATAAAACCTCAGTCGTGAGACCCTTCAGATGTAAATCGGGGTCCGTAAACTGGGAGTATGATTGCCAGCATAGATCTTGCGGCAGTTGAGATAAAGGAAGTTGACTTAACAGGATCCTCGAGGTTGGGATGATGTTAAGCTAAGGTTCTCTTTTGCCCCCAGCAAACGGTCATCATCGAGGCAGCTGAGCTCCTAGAGTGAGGCCACTCTGCTGGTCTCAAGGACGTGTCAATGGGGTGTAGGCAGCAAGGGAATTTAATTTTTCATTTGCTTGAGTTCCCCGCACTACCATGGCAAGCACTGAAACCCCTTTCCTTCATTCTTGGGTGCCCAGGAGTGTCTGAGGAATATCACCCATATTTCACCTGGGGGGTGAAGGGGGGATGGGTGCTAGCTTGTGCTTTGCCCCTCAGCATGCCTCATGCTCCCTCATCAGGGCTACAAAAGGAGACAGAGCTAGTTTGGGAGAACTTCTTTGGCATAAGTCAACTACCCTTTATCCCAAATCGCATTATCTGCTTCAGAGATCCCCGAAGGCGGCCTAATTACTGGTCCTGGGAAGCTGGAGGGGATGGGGAAGGGGGAAGGGAGCTAAAGGGACAGCCTGAGGGTCAGACTGTGTCGGCACAAACCTGTGATGATGGAACTAGCTTCAGGGTGATCTGATGTTTTATGTGGTGTGCGTCTTCTCTCCTTTCCTTTAATGTGGAGGAGCGGATATAAAAAGAGCAAAGCCCCTAGTGTGTTCTGCAAGAGGTAATCTCAAAGCTGGAAGCAGTTTCACTCCCAAAAGAAACACAAGTGCAGTTCTCTCTGATTTGCCATCATACTTGCTCCCGGTTTTTAGCTGAGTTGCAATTCATCCACCTATCATTTACAGGGCATTCAATTTGAATTTTTTAAACATTTATTTATTTTTGAGTTAGACAGAGAGAGAGAGAGAGAGCAGGGGAGGGGCAGAGAGAGAGAAGGAGACACAGAATCCAAAGCAGGCTCCAGGCTCTGAGCTGTCAGCACAGAGCCTGACATGGGGCTCGAACCCACAAACTGCGAGATCATGACCTGAGCTGAAGTTGAGTGCTTAACCTACTGAGTCACCCAGGTGCCCCTATTTTTTTTTTTTTATTATTATTTTAGGGAGAGAGAGAGAGAGAGAGAGAGAGAGAGAGAATCTTAAGCAGGCTCCATGCTCAGCATGGACACAGGGCTTGATCCCACGAACCTGGGATCATGACCTGAGCCAAAATCAAGAGTCTAATGCTCAACCAATTAAGCCCTCCAGGCACCCTCTGGGTATATATTTTAAATATACATGACATACTTTATAATTTTCCCACTCAGCACTAGGTTTTTGAGATCCAGCCCTATTTTATAGGCACATAGGCACATTTGCTCACACTGTGGACACGTTTTAATTATCCACTCCCCCAAGGATGCATACCAGCTGCCCCTAACTCCCCACCTCCAGCATATTATGAACACTGGCACCATGTGAGAACCCGCATGCCGGAGGAGTGTGCTTGCTGGGAACAGGACATGCAACACAAAAATAACTGGATTTGCCTCAGTAATGGCAGACTGTTTCCCAGAACAGCCTCCTTGGCTACCCTTCCTCCGGACCTATATACTTGCTATTCCCTTAGTCTGAAATTGTCCCCTGGACTCTTCAAGGGACTTTCTTTTTCTCATCAGTGAGATCTCAGCTCAACTATCACTGCCTCCCAGAGGCCTTGCCCAAGCTCAGTTATCCCCGCAAACTGCCCTTCCCAGGTTACTCTCCATTATTTTTATTTGCTTGTTACATCCTAGCATTTTTCACAATTTGAAATGATCTGTGATCATTTATTTATTAGCTGTATTCTCCACAGCAACGGGTGCTGTCCTGGTCACTAGGCATCTGGCACAGCCCTAGCATATGGTGGGCTCTTACTGAGTAAACGAATGAAACAATTAAAATAAATAGTATTGTGGTATCAACCTTTTCAATGCTCTGTGGTTGGAAAAGCAAGGAACATAACAGGTGGGAGAGGTGGGGATAACTTCTTATAAGGCTCCTAAAGGACAGATAGGAGGCCCAGGTCGTCAGTCCCTTCTGCACTCCTCTCAGTTCCACAAGCCCTCGCGTTTATACCCACCCCCCGCCCGCCCGCCCCTTTTAAAAACTAAGCTCCTTCCCGGAAGCCTCTGCCCTCCGGCCAGCAAATCCCAACAAAGCCGCAGGGGGGCGCCCAGAACACGCTGGCCGGGGAGAACTAAAACTACATTTCCCGGCACGCCGCGCGCCGCCAACCCGCTTCCGGAGTGCGCGGAAGGCATGGCGGCGCCCGAGGAGCACGAATCTCCCGCTGAGGCCCCTCAGCCGGCGGTGCTGGAGGAGGAAACGAAAACGTTTAAAGATCTGGTGAGTGTGGATGACGCTGGCTTTTCTCTGTACTGCTGGCCCTGGACGCGGGCCGAGTCCATTTGCCTTAGTTCCGGCTAATAGTGTGGAGACGCCGCTGGGGCCTAGCTTGGGTTTCCTTAAGAATTTCCGAAGCTTGGGTTCCAGACGCTCCCCCTAAGCCTCTGGGTTGGATGGTGGGAGGGCTGCCCGTCCCTGAGGGTCCCCATTTGCACTTTTCTCCATTTTGGGGTGGCGACGTTTGTATTGGCAAATACACCCACCCCTTCACTCGGTGTAAGACGTAACGGGTTTGGATTCTGACCCAGTCCCTTACTAGGGGCACGTTGTTACCTCGCGGCGCCTCACTTTCCACATCTGTAAATTGGGGGTAATCATACGTACTTCATAGAATTGTGAGGCTTAACTGAAATAGTACATGTGAAGAACTTGGGTTTGTCTCTTTGAGTAGAAAGTGTTAAGTCTTGAGGTACTACCCATCTCAATAGTGCTCATAGTTAAGTAGGACCCAGTAAGCTCCAAGTATAAGAGATGCACGTGTCACCACCGGCAGGGTGGGCCCGACGGTCATTTGATTAGCAGGGAGGCAGGGGCGCCTGGGTGGCTGAGTCGGTTAAGCATCCGACGTTGGCTCAGGTCATGATGTCGTGGTTTGGGGGTTCGAGCCCGGCAGCAGGCTCTGTGCTGCTATGATAGTTTGGAGCCTGGAGCCTGCGTCAGAGTCTGTGTCTCCACCTCTGTCTGCCCCTCCCCTCCTCATGCTCTCTCTTTCTCTCAAAAATAAAATAAACATTAAAAAAAAGTTAAAAGAATAACTAACTGGGAGGCAAGTGTGTGTGTTCTTCCCTGCTAAAGTGTATTTTTCTGAATTTCAAGGGTGTGACAGATGTGTTGTGTGAAGCCTGTGACCAGTTGGGATGGACAAAGCCCACAAAGATCCAGATTGAAGCTATTCCTTTGGCCTTACAAGGTACGTTGAAATTAAATATGTGGCTTACTACAGGTTCAGTTTTAAAAACTCACCAGTTTTGAGAGCTGATGTTGTATGCTTCAAGTAATATAAAAATGTGGTCATTAAAGATACAGAATTTGTGGGGGCACCTGGGTGGCTCAGTTAGTTAAGTGTCTGACTTTGGGTCAGGTCCTGACCTCACGGGCTGTGGGTTCCAGACCGGCTTCGGGCGCTGTGCTGACAGCTCAGAGCCTGGAGCCTGCCTCACATTCTGTGTCTCCCTCTCTCTCTGACCCTCCCCTGCTCACACTCTGTGTCTCTTTGCCTCTCAAAAATAAATAAATGTTAAAAAAAAATTTTTTTAAAGATCCAAAATTTGTGGCTTGTTGGCTTTTGAAAAAGTCATTCTGTTCTACTGAGCTTACTTTCTATAAGGAGATTTGTTGTTTGCAACAGATGCTGACTTTAAGGACACAACGGAGTAAAGTGTACTAACAAGAAACTTGTTAGAAATTAGGAGTTCGATACGTGCAAATTTACGGTGCCCGGAACACACGCTTGTATCTAGAGGAGTTGAGAGCTCTCACTTTGTGAGACGTGTTTATCAGATATTCAGAAGAATGGCTCACATGTTGGTTGATGACTAGCGAGACCAAAACTAACAGGGTGGACTTTCATAGGAGTTGAGGTAAAGCCCTGCGCTTAGATTCCCAAAGCCCAGCTTCACAGCATTAGGGTTGGTGGTCAGAGCGACCCAGCAGTGTTGACTGAAATTCATTAAGATCCTTAGAGAAAATGAATGTAATCTTAGCTACATTAGTACAAGAGATTTTCCAGGTCAAGCAGAAACACTCGTATAAATGTATCTGTACGTAGAATGTACCCGTCACCCTGAATTCCTCTCCCACACGGTCCAGGTTAAGGGCTCCTGAACTAGCTCTAGAGAGAGAGAAATGTCTTTACTGGTTAGAACACACCTAGAATATTATGTTTAGTTCTGGGGCCCAGTTTTGAGGGACCAGCTGAGTGGCAGTGAGAGGGGTATGGTATCAAGAATAGTCCTAATTTGTTAAAGGAACTGAGAGCATTCAGTCTGGAGAAGAGGAGATCTGGGTGGGATATGATCACTGGCTTCCGTGATTTGAAGAGCTGTTGTGTGGACAAGGATTTAGACTTTCTGAAATTCCCTTTGCTCCATGTGTACTGATATAAGTGTAAGGACCCGGAAGTTAAGATCCTGCCCACCCTAAGAACTTAGAGCCTAGTAAGGAGATACTTATAAATCTATTACAAAGTGAACTGGGACATAAGAAAGTTACATTCCATGCGCACTGAGGGAGGAGAACGGATTACTACTCATTGGAATGGATTAGAGAAAACTTTATTTTTGATTGGAAAGACATCGAGCTGAACCAAGTTGAAGACTGAATAAGATTTAGACACTTATGCATGATGGGAGGGGAGGACTTTCTAGGCATAGGGAACAACATGAAAAAAAGCGAAGGAGGCTGGGACACATGGGCATGTGTGGAGGCCTGCAAATACTTAACTCTCTGTTAAGAGAAAAGGACGGAAAGGATTAGTAAAGTCTTTGGGGCCAGATTATGCAGGACTTAAATCCTGGCTAAAGGATTTGGCCTTTGTTCCGGGGGCAGTGGAGTGCCTTTGGAGATTATTTTTCTAGCAGGAGGATGAAATGCTTACAGTTGTGTTCTTGGAATATTAATCCCATAGCTTTGTCAGGTCGTTTAGAGATGAGAGACCAGAGGCTGGGAGACCAATTAGGAGGGCATTGCAGTAATTTTGGCAATAAATAAAGGGTAGGTTAGTGGTAGTGAGAATGGAAAAGAGAAAAATGATAGAAAAAGAATCATCATGATTTTATAAGTAGTTTGTTAGTGCAGGGTGAGTGGTAGGGAAATCTAGGATCGTTGCCTGTGTGTTTACGACATATTACTGGTGTAAAAAGGGAACATGGGGGGAAAAATAACTTCAGGAAAGAGGAGTTCAGTTGGAAATAATTGATTTTAGGCATCAAAGAAGTAGCCTTGATTAATGCAGAGGTGGGATCTGGGGATTAGAGTTTGATGAAGAGCCCAGAACTGGGTGCAGATGCCACATCCAAAGGGAAGTCGTTGCTGAAACCGTGCAAATGGCTGAGGTTGCCACGTGGGGTCAAGGATGACAGAGGGGAGAAATGGCGGCTCTGTAGCGGGTTGAAATCACGAGAGTCCAGTGTCCTACAAATGAGGTAAGGGCGAGTGTGGGAGGGAGGGGGCAGTAGACCCTTCCAACTTGTTTAGAGACGCTAAGCGGTCAGGGACAAGGAGTGTGTGAAGGCCGTCAGTGGGGAAGAAGTTTCAGCAGTCAGCGGTACTGCAGTTGCTTTAAAAAGCAAAAAGAAGGGTTGGTGCGTTCTGGCGTTTTCCTGCTTGCCCTATAGCATGTGCTGGAAGAATGAACCAAAATTAGGCAGGGGTAATAATTCTTCAAGTGTTTATAACGTTTTCAGTAAGAGTTTGTATTTAATGCAGAGAAAGTAGGAGTCAATGAAAGATTACTAGGAACTGAGTCATGTGACTGACATAATCACCATGGGAAGTCTTTTTTTCTTATTCTTGAGCTTATCTCGTTCTAAGCAGCAGTTTGCAAATGCTTTGTTCAGAAAACCTGTGGATGCTGGCTCTAAGCAAGAGGTTGAAATAATCTAACTAGGGTTTTCTTTCGTCTTCTCTTAAATTAACCTTAAAATTTTAGTTTGAGTACTAATGATGGTGTCAGTTTCTACAAAATTACGGAGTCCTGGGTCCATCCATTGTTCCAAACCCTAAACAATTCTGAAAGGCAGGGATGATTAGTTTATTGGTGAAACTGAAGGCCAGTGGATTAAGTACCTTGGGTAGGTGCACATAACTTGTTATTGGTGGAGCTAGAATTTGAATAATAGGATGTTCTAGTGAAAAGCCTGTGTTCTTGGCTCTGTGTCACAGAGTGTTAGAATGGGGAGATCAAAATCTTTTGATGATTTTTGAGGATGCTTTTCTTCCCATCTGTTTTATATATTCAGTTAATTTTTAATTCAGAGATCACTCGAAGCCCTCTAGGAATTTCAGACAGTTTCTTGAATGGCTGCCGTATACCGAGCAGTCGTGTTAGGTGCTAGCCATGTGGCAGGTGAATGGATGTATCCTGATCCTCCTATCAGGTGTGCATGCCACACAGATACTCCCATGGGAAAGGCTTACAGGTTGTGAGCAGAAGAAAGGAGACGAGAGAGAAAAATTAATTTCACAAAGTGAATATTGCTTTGAGGGCGGTGGGCATTGCTCACAGACACAGGGATTGAGAGACTTAAGCTCCTTTATTTCCCTAAGTCTTTCTTGTATACCCCTTCTGCGGTTTTAAGATTTCCCTCGAAAGAAAAGGGGAACATATCCCAGTGTGGTGGTGGTGGCTTCCTGTTCCAGAAGTCGTGTTGCATCCAGGCAGGGAGGGAGGGCAGAATCCCCACAAAGCTGGGGAATAAAACGCTTTGGAAGCCCTTAGCTCATGAATAGGTAGAGGCTGTTGAATGCACTGCTACTGCCCCTCCAACCAAGGGGAACATTAAAGTTAGTAAATGAGGGAGAAATTTTATCTCTATATTGTCATTTGTTGCGACCTTGACAAAATTAGTCCATTGTCTGGTCTGACTTACAATCCGCATCTACACCTGTACTTTTATAGGTAACATCGAGGTTACTGCTTAGAAGGGCAAGTTAGAATTCACTAGACTCTGCTGTTTGCTCTGGCACGGCAGGACCTGGTTTAAGTGATCGGTGTCTAATAGATGGATGTTGAGAACTCTGTTCTACTTGATATCAACTCCTCTCCTTTCTTGAGCTCTCTTCCTCCTCAGTTTCAAGCCAGTACTGTCTTCTGTCTTTCCAGCTATTCTTTCTGAGATTCTTCTGGTTCCTTTCCTTTTTCCTTGTAAGGTTAATTCTGTCTTTATCCTTTTTTTCCCCCACATTACTCTAAAAACACTACTAAGATTTCTCCTCCAGTCCTGAAGCCTTAACACTGTCTGCATCAGTGAGTCTCAGTGCTCATCAGAATTACCTGCGTTACTTGTAAAACAGTGGAGATTTCTAGAAACACTGTATCAGAATTTCCACATGTGTGACCTAGGCATGTATAGGTATAAAGATCCCACAGGTTATTCTGATGTGTCTGCCCTTGGGGGAGCACAACTGTTAGGGTGCCCATGGCTCCCGCGTCGGTGTTTCCAGCCTGTACTTCTCTGCTGAGCTCCAAACAAGTGTGTCCAACTAGTTTTAGCTATTTCTCTCTGAGCCTGTTGCAGAAACCTCAAGTTCCCGATGTCATTGTTTTCCTCACCAGAACTAGTTTTCTATAAGCCCTTATCTCAGTTCATGGCTTTTGAGTTTTCCAAGCTAGAAACCCTTGTGTCAACCACGTTTTCTTCTATTACTGCGTACATCTCGCTTGTTTCTATCCTCACTGCCTCGCCCCAGTTCAGACCACCATCCTAACTCCCCTGGTATCCTAACTGAACTCCCATTTTTCCTCTGTGTTCCCCATTCTGTTTGTTTAGGTCACTTTAGGTCATAAGGAAGAGAGTCACGTTGAGGTAACCTCAGGGAAAAGGGGTCTATTGTAGGGGAAATCTTGGCAGTTCTGTGGAGTCAGGGAATAACGTGAGCATCAGCCCTGCAGGTCGTTATCGCTGGGAAGCGTTCTCAGTGGGCTCTGTCGTAGCGCACAGCTGCCCTAGGGTCTGCAGCCCGCCGGCCTAGAGATGGTGGGCTTGGTTTGGGAGTTCATTTCCAAACCTTAGAGTTACGGCTTGGTTGGTGGTAACAAACCATGGGGACCTCTTCTTAAGGGGTTACTTAGGGCCGCCTTCTCCTAGAAGCAGCAGTGTAAATGCCCATCCTGTTGAGTTCCTTGGCTCATTATGCCATCAGGCCTAGGGATTATCTTCCTAAGGAGTGATATTGATCATCATGTTTCCTGCTTAACATCCTTCAATTCTCTCTCCTACGGGAAGACATCAGAACATCTCAGCATGGCTTATGAGTTTCCTTTCTAGCCTCATTCTTCTCTCTCACCCTCCTTAACACCTCTCACTCTCACTGCACATGGCTGCGTTCCTTAAAGCCTCCATCCTCTATTCTCATATAGGAATGTGCTTCCTTTCTTTCTCTGCGTACTTCAGATTTAATTTACCCATCAGGTCTGTTAGCCTTTCCTGACTCCTCTGGGCAGTTAGTTACTCCTTCCTTTGTGTTCTCACTGTACGTTGTAGGGGCCTGTTTTAAAGGCCCCTTTACCACATTATATCATACTTGTGTATGTCACCCCTGGATTTTAAGCTTCCCTAGGACAGAGACTATGTCTTCTGTCTGTTCAACCTTCCTCTCCCTCCAGTTCATCAAATATTTATTCATTGTCTACTTTGTGCCCACCTTGTGTCATTATAGAAAATGGGAAGTAACGCAGAGAGCATTTCTTTGCTGTTAGATGTTTTCTTTTTCTTCCTAGGTCGTGATATCATCGGGCTGGCAGAAACTGGCTCTGGAAAAACAGGGGCCTTCGCTTTGCCCATTCTGAATGCACTGCTGGAGACGCCCCAGCGATTGTTTGCCTTAGTTCTCACGCCCACTCGGGAGCTAGCCTTTCAGATCTCAGAGCAGTTTGAAGCCCTGGGGTCTTCTATTGGTGTGCAAAGCGGTAAGTGTCTGAGAGGAAAGGAATTGCAGAGTTTCTTCACAAGTGGAGAGTGAGCGGAAACAGAGAATAGAAGGAAATATTATTAACACGAGTTTATTGACCTTAAGAGCTCATTTGGTATTTTAGCTTCAGGGAAAGTTATATGGGAAGAAAAATTTAAGTAGAAATCTAGCACTGGCTTAAAAGGTATTCAGTGAACTATGGAAAAAATTGAGGATCTCTCTTCTGTATTCTTTTTATTTCTGTAGCTGTGATTGTAGGTGGAATTGATTCAATGTCCCAATCTCTGGCCCTGGCGAAAAAACCACATGTAATAATAGGTGAGTGATTGACAGTGGTAAAAGGCACTGACAATGATGAATTGGAGAAAATCTATCCATGTTGCATAAACTTCTTTGTGTAGAAAGATTTTGAAGGAAGGAGTTTTGTGGCCCTGTTTTATTTTTTAATTTCCGAAAGTTTGGGGGCTTGGTGTGTGGGGTGGTTGGTAACTGTCTTTTTGCCCTAGTTCTCAAACCTTGCCCTTTTTCTTCAACCTTTCTTGATAGCAACTCCTGGTCGACTGATAGACCACTTGGAAAATACAAAAGGTTTCAACTTAAGAGCGCTCAAGTACTTGGTTATGGATGAGGCAGACCGAATATTGAATATGGATTTTGAGACAGAGGTGAGCACTCAATTTCTTAACTCATTGTAGGGCATCTCAAGTGCCCTGTTTCAAAATATGGTTCATTGCACACCTGCTTTGTGGAATACGAGTTATCGTTATAAGTTAATTTAAATGTTTCTGCAGCCTTTTTCAATCTTGGTGCCCCTCCCCTTGTCAGTGCCGCAGTATCCTCTTTAGAATATAGTCTGACTGTGGCTTTAGAGGTGAGAAATTTCCACCAGGTTTCTTTTCTATTTCATTTGATTTATACCTCTTTCGTATACCTTGAAATATCTTTATTTTCTGTCATCATAGCCGACCCACTCATAGATTAGTTAGTTGATGAGTGCTTATTCTTGACTTTCAGATTAGCTCTACTGTAATTTAAACTGTTCTTTTCTCTGAATGGCATTTTTAACAGCATATAGTAAGGTATCAAATAATGAATATTCAGTAAATTTTAGTTGAGTTGAATTGAATTTTTGAGTCCCCAAATTCCCACAGTGACATACTTAGTTTTCACTCTGTCCTTCACAAAGATCATTTGTAAGTGTCCAGTCTGAATGTTACATTCATACCCTTTCTTCTTTATGCCTTAGGTAGACAAGATCCTCAAAGTGATTCCCCGAGATCGGAAAACGTTTCTCTTCTCAGCTACCATGACCAAGAAGGTGAAATTTTCTAGGACCTCTGATTTCATCTTTATTAAGTGAAAAATAAAAACAGCATTTAGGAATCAGTGTACTATTTCAGGTTTTTTTCTGCAGGTGCAAAAACTTCAGCGAGCAGCACTGAAGAATCCTGTGAAATGTGCTGTTTCCTCCAAATACCAGACAGTTGAGAAATTACAGCAATATTACATTTTTATTCCTTCTAAATTCAAGGTAAAGTGTTTATTTTGATCATTCTTGCCTCTCCCTCCTCACTAAAGCATCTGAAAGTGTGTCCACTTTTGATTAGCTAAGAGCTGTGCTACTGTTTGTTTTAGAACACACACTGTGCTTATATTTATCACAGATAAAGGCAAACATTCCGAGAATTCACAGCATGCTAAACCACAGTAATGAAGTTGTGATGTAAATCCTTCCCAGCCCCATTCTTGAAGTAGTTTTTCTTTTGTCTGTTGATTATGTGGCTTTTTTATAGGCAGGGGACCCTCATTTTGTGCTTTGATGTAAGGACTTTCCCTGGTTGCTGAGTATAGATCTCCTTGTGCTTGGCTTCAGGCATGTGAAATTTATGGTTCACAGAGATGATCATGCTGCTTCAGGAGTGCAAAACTGTCATCTGGGGTCTGGGAATTGAGAAGCAGCTATAGGCTCAGCCTTTAACGTAATTTATATTCCCAGGACTCCAGTCTTTTCTTCCAGGTCAGTTACTTATATTGTTTTGGGTTTGTAACTTAGGATACGTACCTGGTTTACATTCTAAATGAACTGGCTGGAAACTCCTTTATGATCTTCTGCAGCACCTGTAACAATACTCAGAGAACAGCTTTGCTGCTCCGCAATCTTGGCTTCACTGCTATCCCCCTCCATGGACAGATGAGTCAGGTAAAGATTCTTCGGCATCATTAGTGGTGAACCGGGGGCACAAGCAGGGTAAAGCTTATAGCAGTAGTTATCGATAATAACTACATGTGGTGTTCATGCATATTCCCAGAATTGTTTTGATTTTATGGGCTTTAAAGTGTTGCTCTGGATGCTTGCTTCCTCCTTTTAGGATAGCAAGAGGCTCACATTAGAAGATTCCATAGTTATTTGTCTGGTATGGAAGCTTTTGAGTTGATTTTTTCAGCCCTCATGCTAACGTTGATTCTTTGGCCTCTAAAGATTTTTAACAAATTATTTTTCAACTACCTGTCATGTTAAATAATCCCCATTTCATGTTAGTATTTTCTAGCCTCAGTCTTAAATATTTTTTTGTTGTTTCCATGTTTCCTTTTGACCTGTGAATCCCAGTCTGGCCTGAGGGGAAACATCCTTTTAAAAATTTCTGTCTTGGTTCTTATACTTAGTGTTTCTAATTTATGTGTCTTAGAATCTGAGATTCCTTAGTTTTCCAAGATTAACGTTCTTTTCATTTCTTTTCATCATCTCAGAGCAAACGCCTCGGATCCCTTAATAAGTTTAAGGCAAAGGCTCGTTCTATTCTTCTAGCAACTGATGTTGCAAGCCGAGGTTTGGACATACCTCATGTGGATGTAGTTGTTAACTTTGACATTCCTACCCATTCCAAGGTGAGTCCCATTGCTGACTTGACTTTCTTTTTTTTTTTTTTTAAACTTTTTTTTATGTTTATTTCTGAGAGAGACAGTGTGAACAGGGGAGGAGCAGAGGGAGAGGGAGACACAGAATCTGAAGCAGGTTCTAGGCTCTGAGCTGTCAGCACAGAGCCTCACAGGGGGCTGGAACCCACAAACTGTGAGATCATGACCTGAGCCGAAGTTGGATGCTCAACTGACTGAGCCACCCAGGTGCCCTTGATGACCTGACTTTCTAGTTCTGAAGTGTGTTTCTTTCATTTTTTTAAATTGAGGTATAATTGACATAAAAGATGAGTTTCAGTTGTATAACATGATATATTTGTATATATCACAAAATGATTATCACAAGTCTAGTTAGTATCTGTCACCATACATCATTATGAATTTTTTTCTTACACTGAGAACTTTCAAGGTCTACTCTTTAAGCAGCTTTCAAATCTGTAATGCGGCATTATTAACTGTATTTGCTGTGCTGTACATTACACCCCTGTGGCTTACTTGTTTTATAACTTGGAGTTTGTACTTTTTGACTCCCTTCACTTAGTTGATTCCCCGCTCCCATTATTCCCACCTTTGGCAACCACCAGGTATGTTCTCTATATTATGAGCTCAGTTTGTTTTTTTGCTTTTTTTAGATTCCACATACAAATTAGATCATACACTATCTTTCTCAGACTTATTTACTTAGCATTGTGTCCTTAAGGTCCGTCTCTCTTGTTGCAGATGGCAAGAATCAGTTCTTTTTTTATGGCTGAATAATATTCCAATGTATTTTTTAAAATATTCTTTTTTTTTTTTTTTTTTTTTTATTTTTTTTTTTTTTTTTTTTTTTTTAATGTTTACCTATTTATTTTGAGAGAGAGAGAGAGAAAATCCCAAGCAGGCTCTGTGCTGTCAGCACAGAGTCCTACGTGGGATTCAGTCCCATGAACCGTGAGATCATGACCTGAGCTGAAATCAAGAGTCAAATGCTTAACTGACTGATCCACCCAGATGCCCCTCCAAGATGTATTTCTTAATGGAATGTTTTCTGTCTCTCCGTAGTTAAAACTTGTTCCCCACCCCCCCATCCTCTATCAGTTGAGTATCAAAAACTGAGAAAGGTCTTGGTTTATTTATTCTCATTATCTTGCATGTGCCTGAGGATGTGATACTAATAAATGTGAATGAGGGTAGCCGAAGAGAGGTATGAGAACACAGGGGAGGTGCAGCACGTGCTGATCTTTGTCAGTCTCATGTCTTCAGAATCGTCAGCTTGTGGTTCCTAGTGTTTCTCAGGGTTCCTCAGCCTTGGCACTGTTAATGTTTTGGGCCAGCAGATTCTTGGCTGTGGGGCTCTCCTTCGCATTTTTGGACGCTTAGCATTCCTGGCCTCTGCCCACAGGTGACATTGTGACAAATGCACATGTGGCCTGACATGTCCTGAGCTCCCCTGGGGAGGACAGAACCGCCCCCAGAACAACTAGTATCTCTTGGCTTTGTCTTTAACTGCTGTAGGCAAGGTGCTGTGTCATTGACGTTCCCAGTAGCTCTGAGTTTGGGCATGCATTTCTGTCCCTGCTTTATAGATGGAAACCAAGATCCAGAGAGGCTGTGGGCTTGTAGATAGTTGTGTAGCTGGTAGGTGGTAAGACCAGAGCCATGATGCAGGTCTGCCTCTGGATCCGGTGCTGTTTCCTCTAGACCATGTTGCCTGCAGCCACATAGGTATGCTTTAGATTTGTCTCTCTGTAAAGAAAAGAGAGTCGATTCTGTGTGCTGCAGGGAAAATTTAAAAAAAGATGAAGTAGATTTATTTCAACAAATTGCCCAGTCCATTTTTCCATGTTTCAGCATGAGTTTATTTCCTTTCAGAAGTTTGAGTGCATAGTTTTTTATTTATACTTTATGTAACTCAGATTTATTTATGCTTTTTGTTTCAGGATTACATCCATCGAGTAGGTCGAACCGCTCGAGCTGGGCGTTCTGGCAAGGCTATCACCTTTGTCACCCAGTAAGGAAATTGACTTCAGGGGCAGAACAATGCAGAGAAAAGAGCAGAGCTTTGGTGCAGACTGACTTGGTGCCTTGACTTTACCATTTACTGTAGTAGTTACTTAACCTCCCTTGTGCTGTTTTCAGCATTTGTAAAGTGGAAATAATGGTACCTACCTAACAGGGCTTTAATGAAGATTGGATATATATACATATATGTATCAGGTCTAGTGTAGCATTTGGCGTATAGAAACACACAAAGAAACCCCTGCCCTTTCTTTCAGCTACTGAAGCTGGAGAGCAGTGACTCTTCCCTCAACTCAAAGTATTCAAATAATTATTTTGATTTTGTTTAAAAAGTTTTTTTAATGTTTATTTTTGAGAGAGCGCTAGTCAGGGAGGGGCAGAGAGAGAGGGAAGCCCAGAATCTGAAGCGGGCTCCGGGCTCTGAACTCCAGGCACAGAGCCCAACATGGGGCTCCAACTCACAAACCATGAGATCATGACCTGAGCCGAAGTCGGACACTTACCGAACTGAACCACCCAGGCGCCCTGATTTTGTTTTTAAAGAGACAAATTTTGGCTTTTCTGGGAGTAAAGAATATGTTGCGTGATTTTCTAGTGGGCTGTGTACAAAAGGTTGCTCTAATCGGTATTCTGAAGAGGAATAGTGATTCAGTATTATTTATAACTGGCTCAGTTGCTTCATATCACGTAATGTGTAGCTTTGGAGTGGACAGACATCAGCATTGTCAGCCAGCCAAAGCCACACCAGTCTTCCCTCCTCAGGTACGATGTGGAACTCTTCCAGCGCATAGAACACTTAATTGGGAAGAAACTGCCTGTCTTTCCAACACAGGATGATGAGGTGATGATGCTGACAGAGCGGGTCACTGAAGCCCAGAGATTTGCCCGAATGGTATGCAACTTACTCTTTCACCATCTTTTGTGCAAATAATATTAACTACGTGCTAGATGCTATTGGGTTAGTCCTCATACAAACTGCAGGAAGTATTATTTTATTCCAAATTTAAGATGAGCATACTAAAGGGTAGAGATAGTAGGTAATTGGAATCAAGGTCTGGACTCAGTCTGACCACAATGACCACATGCTCAGCCACTGTTCTGTTTCACATGTGACAAGAAAACCTCTGGACCTGAGATCAGAAGACCGAGCTGTGAACTGGACGTTGTGGTTTGTACAATGCTTCTCACCTTGCAGAATTAGTTCCTTGCCTGGAAATTGGGAATGATAATTACCTTGATACTTTATAGGGTTTTTTTGGGCGCCAGATAAGCTAACGTGGACTGAATAGTTACTAACAGTAAGTAGCAGTGATGATAATGGTGAGGATGGAAGGATTGTAAAGGAGAATCCTAGGAAGTGCGGTCTGCTCCCTAGAATTCTAGTCTGAGAGTGAGGAAACTGCCCCCGGCTGCTTTCTGAGTAGCTGGGCTGTGGACTTGTTTGTTTTTTTTTTTTTGTTCACATGGATTTATTTGGTATTTTGGTTTATAAAAGCATTAAATATACATTGGAAAAATTTTTCAGAAAATACAGAAAGATAAAAATAGTAAATGAGACATACAAGTTATCCCCTACAGAGAACATTTGGCTCTTGATAACATTTGGCTATTTTTTTTTTTTTTGGCCATAATTAGGTTTTATCTAATTGTATATGATTAACGTTTTTTCTGTTTTAACGAATATAGAGCAATGTGATCACTTCTCAGTGGCTATAAAAAATTCCATTATAAATATATAACATGACTTACATTGGAGTGTGTTTATGCTTTTTCACATGTTTTGTGTTTTAACTAGTACTGTGTTGGACATCCTAGTATATACACCTTTGTGTACTTGTTTCCCTAGAATAAATTCCTAGAAGTAGAATTGTTGGGCCGAGGAGTAAATGAAGTTAAAATTTGAATTAATACAGAATGCCAGATTCCTCCCTCTCCCACCCAGAAAAGCTGTCATTGACAGTTTATGTGGTTGTACCCATACCTTGACCAATACTAGGTATTACCATGCTCTTAAGTCTTTGCTAGCCTTCCATGTGAAAATAACAGCTTGTTTTAATTTTCATGTGAACATTTTTTTAAAAAAATTTTAAATGTTTTATTTATTTTTGAGAGAGAGACAGCATGAGCAGGGGAGGGTCAGAGAGAGGGAGACACAGAATCTGAAGACAGGCTCCAGGCTCTGAGCTGTCAGCATAGAGCCCAACATGGGGCTCGAACCCATGAACCGTGAGATCATGACCTGAGCCGAAGTCGGACGCTTCACCGACCTAGCCACTCAGGTGCCCCTCATGTGAACATTTTTGTAGATTGGAATTTTGGTTTTCTCCCTTTGCTAGTGTGAGGTTTTAGGGAGTTAATTAGTGTTTTGGGTTTTTTTTTAACGTTTGTTTATTTTTGAGAGAGAGAGAAAGACAGAGCATGAGTGGGGGAAGGGCAGAGAGTGGAGGAGGAGCAGAGCAGGAGACACAGAATCTGAAGCAGGCTCCAGGCTCTGAGCTGGCAGCACAGAGCCCAGTGCGGGGCTCAAACCCACAGACTATGAGATCATGACCTGAGCTGAAGTCAGCCGCTTAGCTGACTGAGCCACCCAGGCGCCACAGTGTTTGATTTTAAGGAGAGGAGGGCAGGACGTGTTACCCTCAGTGACAGTAGTTCATTTTCAGTCCCTTCCTTTCTCTTTTCTTGCAGGAGTTGAGGGAACATGGAGAAAAGAAGAAGCGCGTGCGGGAGGACGCTGGGGACGACGACGACAGGGAGGGTGCTATGGGTGTCAGGAACAAGGTGGCTGGAGGAAAAATGAAGAAACGGAAAGGCCGTTAATTTCTTTTATAAAGACTTGATTGCAGCCTTCTGTTTGTACAAGGAGAGTGGGAGGGAATGGACCCCCCGCCCCCAGCAGAGTTCCTCAGACAGAAATCGTCACAGTGATGGCCAGAACCTGCTCATCTCCTCGAGCGCTCGCTCTCTTCTGTAGGGTGCCATTACCGCACAGCGGTTTTTACGGTGCCCCCGTCAGCTTTCGTTTCTTGGTCACGACATGAGTAAGATGTGCTCTTTTGTCCCTTCACACAGACCTTTTGCTTTTTCAGCTGCAAGTCAAGGACTAGGTTGATGGAGCACTGGACCTGTAATTTAAACTGGTGATACTTAAGCAGTCTCAGCTTCTGCTTCATTCGACAGAATGCAAACTAATAAATTTAAATATTATTTTTAAAAGATTCAAACTCCTTGAAAACCTTTATGGGTTGAGGGACTTTACAGATTTAAGTGAGATCTTGTAATAGGTAAGAAACAGACAATGGCACTTATGTGGCAGAATCATTGCTTGTCCTTAATTAAGGTAAACATTATTTGTGGTTTTTAAAAATCTACAAAGGAATGAGGTGATGGATGGCTTTGAACGGGAAGTCCTGCTTAAAAAGGTGGTTGTGTTTTTCTTGGGGATGGATCAAAGGCCTTACGACTGCAGAGTGTCTTAGATCCCTAGATGCATTCACTTCCCTGACTGCTCGGTTTAAGCGGTCTTCATTAAGACTGGTTTCTTTTGTCTCCATCTATAGGGCTACATAACTCAGGATATGTAAAGCTGGGTCATCAGCTCCTGGAGAGAAAATAGACCATGGCTCTGTAGGGACTGGGTCAGATAGGGGAAGGTTAATGGAAATCAGAAACAACTGTGAGCCTCATGGTCATGAACAGACTTGTGCCCTGAAGGCTTTTTCCTCATAGAAGATACATAATCATTTTTGTCAAATGTAACTATTTTATTAGAGCAGAAAGTGTGTGAAGTGGCAGAACCAGGCTGCAGAGATCCCAGTGGTTTAAGATGGAGTTTTGAAGAGGAACCTCCCATGTACATCTTAATGGAAAGTGCGTGTTTCAATGATTGTGTTTCTTAGAGTCAAAGTATCTGGCAAGAAGTGAAAAGTAGACGTCAGTAAAATTCTCCGGTGGTAGTCAGGTGTGGATTGTTACTTGCAGGAAGATTTCTGTAAATACAGGGTGTAGGGTACATTCCGCCAGAAATGCATCTTCAGAGGAATGCCTGTGGATAAGGGATTTACAATTAATTGAAATCTAAACACATGGCTTATTTTGTTTAGCTTGCTCCAAAGTTTGTTGCTCCTCATTATGGTGCGTTTGAGCGACGTTCAAGTTAGGAAAGTCAGAAGTCAGTAAGAAAGAAGGAAAGGAGAAAAAGGGTAGAAGAAAAGGAGAGACGAGTAATTGAGTGGGGGCCATAACTGTGACTTTGTTTTGAGTTGTGGGTACCAGTGGAGGCTAGTTCTCCCTGAGTATTTTATTTTCCTGATGGGACTTTGTAGGGTGGCTTGGATAATAACAACTCTCTCTCTGAGCTTTTGGATAAGAGTGAATGGAGGTTTGCTGTTTCGTTCACTGGAGGACTTCAGGAGCAAGCTGATACTGAATTGGGGTGCGGCTGGTGGGTAAGGAGAAGAGACTGGAATTATCCTGGAGAAGTCTGAACTTTCTAAATAGGTGGGGGTCTCTCACATAGGGTCTGTAGGCCTCTGAAGTATATGCCTATTTCTGGGGAGACTAACTGGGTTAAAAACAACTGCTCTAAAGCTTAGCTGTTGTCTCCAAAGTATGCATGTAATTGTGCTTCGCCAAGACAGGACGATAGGGCAGTAAGCACAGAAATGTGGAGGATGCGTCCTTAGGCATATTGGCAGGTCCAGACGGTAAGCCAGAGTCCTGCACAGAACAAATAGATCTTGCTGTGAAGGACAGGAGGCACAGAAATAAATGAATGTGATCTGTTAGTAAATGAGGACCGGCCTGTGGGTTTGTACCATTATTGAGATCTGTTCTTCATGCTCTCTTATCCTCTCCGGTAACACTGGAGAGTCTTGCTGCTGAAACCCTAATCAAGATGTGGGTTCGTTTTCTAGGCCTGCTGTCACAAAGTCCTACAAACTGGGTGGCTTAAAACAACAGAAATTGATTGGCTCACAGTTCTGGAAACTGGAAGTCTGAGATGAAGGTGTTAGCAAGGCCGGGCATCATCTGAAACCTCTAGGGAAGACTCCTTGTCTCTTCCTAGCTTCTGGTGGTTGCTGGCAATCCTTGGTGTTGCTTGGCTTGTGACAACATAAATCCAGTGTCTGCTTCTCTCTTGCCGTAACCTTCTTCCTCCTGTGTCTGTGTCTTCACACGGCCTTCCTCTGAGGAGACTGGTCATTGGATTTAGGGTGCACCCTAATCCAGTGTGACCTCATCGTAACCAGTTACATCTGCAAAGACCCTATTTCCAAATAAAGTCACACTCTGGAGTTCTAGGTAGACACGAATTTTAGGGGGAGATTATTAATCCAGTACAGACCATCTTTCTGGACTGCTGTGTTCATTGGTGTTTAAGACTGCATTGTGGAATAGAAGTGGCAGATAGAGTTGACTACAGAGAAAGTGGAGAAAAGACAGAAGGTAGATCTTCAGAAATGGTAAGATGTGTAGAAGTATAGAAGTTTAAAGTGACATTCTCTTAAATGAAGTGTAAATTATCTTTGTAGTCAGGGTACCAGAGGCTCTAGTTTCAGGAGTTGGTAGGGTGTTTCTGGCCTTTCTTCTGTTGCATTCTTGTATAATCCCTTAGTTCTGCTTTCCTGATTTGAGAAACAGAGCTGCAAAGTGACCCACCAGCCTCTCTCCCTCCCCTAATTGCAAACAATTCCTACACCTAATTTTTATGCCTCTCTTAAAAAATTATTTTTTGACAGGGTGGCACCAGGGTGGCTGATCAGTTAAGAGTTTGACTTTAGCTCAGCTCATGATCTCACGGCTTGTGAGTTCAAGCCCCGCATTGGGCTCTGTTCTGACAGCTCAGAGCCTGGAGCCTGCTTGGGATTGTGTGTCTCCCTCTCTCTCTGCCCCTCCCCCATGTGTGCTCTGTCTCTTTGTCTTTCTCTCTCAAAAATAAATACACTTAAAAAAAAATTTTTTTTTTTAAATTTTATTTTGAGAGAGAGACAGAGAGCAAGCAGAGGAGGGGCAGAGAGAGAGGGAGACACAGAATCTGAAGCAGGTTCTAGGCTCTGAGCTGTCAGTACAGAGCCCGATGTAGGGCTGGAACCCATGGACTGTGAGATCATGACCTGAGCTGAAGTCGGACACTTAACCGACTGAGCCACCTCAGCGCCCATAAAAAAATTTTTAACGTTTATTTATTTATTTAGAAAGTACATGTGCATGCATGCATGGGGGAGGGGCAGAGAGGGAAAGAGAGAGAATCCTGAGCTATCAGCACAGAGCCCAGTCTGGGGCTCCAACTCACGAACCATGAGATTCTGACCTGAGTTAAGATCAAGAGTTGGAGGCTTAACCGACTGAACCACCCAGGTGTGCCTAATTCTTATGTCTTAATAAAGGAAGTAGCTTGCTGTAGTCATGTAATGCTGGCCCAGAGAAAATTTCCCCCTTATTTCTCACATGAATCATGAATCCGCTTTATATAGCATTCATTGTATCATGGCTTCATGATACTAGCTAACTTGGTTTTACTTTCTCTGTCCAGAACTACAGTGAGAGGAAGAAAATATCTCTCCCTTATGAAGGGTGCACGGGTCCCAGGGATAGGGTTTTAGTTGGGTAGGCTATTTCAGGCTTAAAGCAGGCCTAGAATTCCAGGCACTCTGGAGCTTAAGGTTCTCTGAAGGGATTCCAGTAGTTACCAAAAGGGGTCTAGACTCAACTAGCTTATGATGATTCTTTTTTAATCCCCGAAAGATGTGATAAATATCCTAGAACTTGGCTGACTCTATAAAGATAACTGGCTTACAGCCAAAGTGTTTTCCAGGTAGCTTCCTACCTGTAGATAATAACCAAAAATCTCAATCAGAGACTTATCTGCCCCACCTCCCTCAAAGCCCTGGGAAAGGAGATCAGAAAGAACCACCGCTGTGACATTGGTTATCAAAAGCAGGTAACAAAATAACATCAAGAAAGTATGTTCTGGGACACCTGGGTGACTCAGCATTCAATTCTTGCATTGGGCTTCACACTCAGTGTGAAGACTGCTTGGAATTCTCTCTCTCCCTCTCTCTGCTCCTCCTCTGCTTGCATGCATGCACACACATTGTCTCTGCCCCTCTCTAAATAACCTTCAAAAAAAAAAATGTTCTAAAAACTTGAAAGTAGAGAATATACAAGAAGTTTTAATCCACATAGTTCTTAAGGTGAAATTGAGCCTCAGGGCAGGTAAGTCAGGGTGTGAGTCATCTCTTCAGTTGGAATGACAAGAGACCCAGACCTTGGCACTAGAGATTCAAGGGTTACCCACACCCACATTCCTTTTCATGCCTCTCCTGTCCCAGGAATGCACTAAAACTCCAGCTAAAAATAACTACAGAAACTTGAACTCTGGGAAATAGCACTGAACAGTCTACCCTAGAGAGAAGAGCTGGTTTATGCCAGATGGAAGAGAGACAGGAAGAAAATGGGCTCCTGTGGTACCACTTAATCTCTAGAATGTGGGTCCTGATGTCTGCTCATACTCTTAGAAGTTTTTGTCTGCTTACAAGCCGTCCCTCCACCTGATACCTTCATCAACCTGTGGATGCCATGTTGGGGCTGGAAGAAACCAGAAGGACAGGGGAATGCAACAGAGTATAGGCAAATGTTAGTCCAGAGACCTGTTGAGTTACCGAGCCTCAGTTTCTCTCTGCTAGTGTGGAAGTAAGAGCATCTGTCCTATCTGCCTCACAGAGTCTTGAACCTCGTTTTTGTGTTTTTAAATTCTGTTGTTTTCCTCCCTCCCGGTATCTGCTCTGTCCCAGCTACTGCGCCAGGTACCAGGAAGACACTACTGAAGAAAAAAGTGAGACGCTTTCTTTGCTGAACTCAGCCTTAGGTGAATTCAGGATTTGTCGTAGCATTGTATTGTGATTACGCTTGTCTAGAATGCAGGGACCATGGCTTATTTGTGGATGTAATTTTAATATCTCGTAGGGCCCAGCACACAGCAGTTGTTCAATGTCTGTCGTTTTCTGGAACATATTATGTGTTGGCAGTTTTACATGTGTTATCTCTAGTTCCTTGTACAGTCCTGAAAGGTAGATATTATTGTTCCCATTATAAGCTGTAGGGGCAGACTGTCACATCTGCTCCTTCAGGGTTTTGGGACCTTGGGCAAGTTTTTCAACCTTTTTGTTGAAGAAATGCAGATAGCAGTATACTTTCCTTACAGGGTTGTGAGGTTTAAATG